GGGGTTAGCATTACTCAGAAATTTGACCAGACCAGCTGTATAAATACTGTTGGCTGTATTGTGGGTCTGCCTGCAGCACATGGACTACAGCAGTTCAAGAATGCAGCTCACCACCACTTTCTCAAGGGCGGTTGGAGATGGGCAATAAATGCTGGCTCAGCCAGTAAGTCCACATCCCACAAGTGAATATAAAAAAAAAAGTAGGTAAGGCTCAGCGACATTGCCTTCAAGTCTGTCCAGTGTCTACATGGCATAAGTCAAGAATGTGATGGGATACTCTGCACTTGGCTGAATGAGTATATCTTCAACAACAGTCAAGATTGACATCATTCAGGACAAAGCAACGCTCTTGATTGGCATTGCATCCACCACCTTAAATGTTCATTCCTACAGTGGCTGTGTTGTGCCTGTTATATGAGAAGCTATCACCTTTCCTTCACTTTCACGTCACTGAGGGTGTAGGCAGAAAAGGTTTGGAACCATCGTCATGAAGACAATTAGGGATGGGAATCCAAATATTAACCGTGCCAGCCATGTCCACAATCCTGGAAAGAACTGAAAAGACGGGCCCACATCTATTGATCTGCCTTCCACTGTGGAATTTGCCGCAGTTGAACCTGGACCAATTTCAGTTTGATCGCGTGTATTTATTGCATTTTCTCTGTGTAAGTGCCCATGTTTCACTGAGGTGGTGTGAGGTAACTGATTGTAGAATGGCTACAACTGTTGCTTACCCACTGATGTACAGTTAGAAAAATGACTTAGAGTCCAGTTTTGGTGTTACAAGCTTAAAGTTAATTTGTTTAGCAGGTGTTATCTTTATTAACAGTTGTCAATCTGGTGCAGTTTATATTGTAAAGACTGCAGCGTGGTATAAATTAATATGTTCCCTATAAAAATTGTATATGGTGTTTCAGAGGCACCTATGGTTTAGTAAGCCTGTTCAGCTTATCTCACTATTACCTTGCCCATTATTCAAAAATTCCGGAATTTTCATCTCCACTCTATATCTGGAAGTGCACTTCATCATGCCTGAGGCAAGGAGCTTCCAGTATTCTATTTTTTCCACAATTGTGATCTTGTTACCTTGTCTGATCTTGATTTTATTTTACAAAGCACCTCCAGTTTTCAATTTTCCTGTATCATTTTTCAATACAATCTTTCAGCAATGAATTCTGGCGCTGGGAAATAGCATTGTACCTCTCTCCTTCAGTGCTTCCAGCTTTTAGATGGTTTCCATGTACCTTCGCAATCAGAATCAGGTGCTCTGTTCAAAGTGCTGTCAGATCGGAGTGCTGTCCTGTTGAATTGCTACATCTTCTAACTGTTTGTTTTAGCTATTTGCAGTAAACCTTTTATTATTTGGCACCTATTGGACCAGGAGTGTGCTGAATGAAGAAATATTCCTGATAATCAAGAGGTCCACATAATCAATGTAAAAACACATACTTAATAGAAATTTAACACGGGGGCATACACACCACTGTTATACTTTATTTACAGCATAAATCATATAAATGCTAATGCAACTTTGCCTTAAATAAAACTTGCCAGCAGAGAACCTTCTCACTTGCACCGCCAACTGACTACTCGGACATCGTGGTAGATCGCGTTATTTGAGGAGAAATTGACTTTAAATTGAATCACCTGTAGAAATTTCGTGTGGCTATTTTGATTGAACAACAGTTATATTTGCATTGTGGTATATAAATTTAAACTATAATGATTGGACAGAATAATACAGTAAACTTCGTGGTATATAATTTTTGCTGGATTATGAAGAGTGCCATTCATAAGGTGCCAGTTAAAACAAAGTTTGCTGTATTTCTCTAATTCTGATTTAGTGCAAAAAGGTAAAGTACAGTAAAGTTGTCATAGACTATAAAGCAATAGATCATAAGAAATAGGAAAGGGAGTAGGTCATTTGGCCCCTCAAGCCTGTTCCACCATTCACTAGGATCATGGCTGATCCAATATTCCTCATATCCTGTTTCCGGCCTTTTCCCTGTAACCCTTGAGTCCCGTACAGATCAAGAATCTATCTATCTCAGCCTTAAATAAGCACAAGGACTCTGCTCCCACAGCTCTCTTTGGTAAGGAGTTCCAAAGACACTCAACACTCTGTGAAGAATTTCCCATCTTAGTATTAAATTGCCATCCCTTTATTTTAAGACTATGCCCTATGGTCCTAGACTCTCCTAAAGGGGGAAGTATTCTCAGAATTTATTCAGTCCAGCCATTTAAGAATCCTGTATGTTTCAGTGGGATAACCACTATTGTCCTACAAGGTCATAGGGCTGCTGTCTCTTAGAGTTGGCTGGTAATAAATCTGAGGGTCACCATGCATCAGGCAAGGGGAGAGGTTGAGAAGGAGGGCCCTTCGTGGTAACCTCAGCTGGTGCAAGAATTGAACCCATGTTGGCAGCACTCTACATCACAAACCAGCCATCCAGCCAACTGAGATAACTGACCCCCCTCTTCAGTGTAACATTATTGTTGAAAACATTTTTTGGTTTCTCTTGCTCTGTCTTGATTTCCTTGCTGGGAATGCTTTGGGCATTATTGGCCATATTCCGGAATCTCAACCAAATGGCCACTCTTTGTGGAATGAGTAAGCGGGTTAATCAAGCCTGGGCCATTCCAGCGAAGTCCACTTCTACCTTTGACCTTAAGGTGTTATGAAAGGGGCCAGTCAATTGTCATTCATTAGCATCCACTACACCTTGTGTCACTTTTTCCCCGTGCCCAGGTGTTCCGAGAACATTGCTTGTCTAGCTTACTGTTGTAGCAACTTAGTTAAGCTAACCCTACAACTGGATTGAGCCTGTGATGATCTTGGTCTGTGTGAAAGTTACATTCTGAGTAAGCGTAAAACAACAACAACTTGCCTTTACAGAACACTTCTTAAAATCTGGTTAACATCCTTGAGTGCTTCATGTTATTGTTATTAGTAAACCCTAAACTTTGCTATTAAATGTTTAGAGAGTGATTTAAGGAAGAAAGTGTGTGAATTTTGATCGCATGATAGAGTATTTCTAAAGAAAAATGAACAATTATTGGAATTTTTGCTTTCATTTGCTGAGCATTTCCAAACTGTTGAGCCAATTATCTTTGAAGCGTAGTAATGAATGTGAGCAAATGTAAATCAGTTTGAGTGCTTAAGATCTAAACAGGCAGCTTCCTCCTCTATTTAACAAAGGAAACAGCTCAGGCAGTATTGCATTCCCTGAATGTTGTATTTGAAGTACTGTCTACGTGTGTTGTATGCTCAGTTCCGGGACTGGATCTTGAAAGCATGACTTTTACTCCTGGGGAAGTGTTATCAACTGAGCCAATGTCTTATGATTAAACCAGCTGCTCAATAAGGTCAAAAACCCAATATATTTGTCCTATTTTGGAATAGGATTATTGCCTGGGGTTGAGTAATTGGTTTTGCAAACTTAAACAAATGTGTCAACACTTGTCATATTTTTCTACCCTTTACCCTTCCCTAAAAGCTAGTGCAAATTTCTTTAAATGCTTTCACTTTTCCAGTACCTCATCCTGATGGCCATTCTTCGTATGTGAAACTGGTGACACCCATTGATCAGGGTTGTTACACAATGTTAACATCTCTGGTGCTGTATGAAGGATGGCATCTCCTCAATACTGCTGTAGGGTGCCAACTTTGTCGTGGAGTTTAACCCCATGTATTCAGTGATATCTGACAATGAACCAAACATTCCTGGAGCATACATGTTTCAAATCTGGCCTTCCTAGGGTGGGTGGAACTCGCAGTGGTACTCAGGTAATTACTGAAAGAAACATTTTGTGGATGTTCAGACTGTCAAAAAGGAAGATAGATGTACGGAATTCCATCTATCAACCTGAGCGCAGGAATGGTCTAATGTATGAGAATTCATGAAATGTTCATAGTTTAAAAGATTGTGTCACTATCTACAGGACTCCATAGGCTGCATGTTTTAGTAACTTGCCTTAGCTCATCAATCTATAAAAAATGTTAGAAGGCTAAGTTTGTAGTCCTAGGAGAATACTTTTAGGACTCTTCACATAGTTTTTTGAAGGCCTGAGAAGTCATCTTGTGTACAAATCATTGTGATTTTCAGTTATAGTTGCAGTACATGGCGAATTCATTGCTACCCAGGATTGTTTGTAAAAAGTGCAACAGGATGCTGTGGACTTGGGGCACTTTGCAGAAGCAACCTGAGGGCTTATGGAATGTGTTCACTTGTGGGTCTCTGTCTAACTTGGGCCTTATCATTCCATGATTTTTTTTAAACATAAGCATTTGAAAAGCTGGGATGTATTAGTATTTGCTGCATTATCATACATAATTTAAGTTTTGTATGGGGTGGAAGTACTTCTCAAAGTTCCATTGTTGTCTACTATATATACCCAGTTCCATATTTCTTCATGTCTTCGATGTCCTGATCTAACTGACCTCCTGTTTAGTTACTACTTGAAGAAATAGCTTTTTTGTTTAAGCAGTCAAGCATAAATATATTGATCTGGCTTTAAAACCCTTTAAATGTGGAAGTTGCCTAAGATGTAAAAATCTAATGTTTGTCTTTTAACTTTCAGCTTTGCGTTATTCTTGGAAAATTGTGCTCCAGCAGTGAATTCATTGAACCTCGGCATTACCAGTCCACTTCTATTAGGCTCAGCAAATTTACAGCTCGCCCAGATAAAGGCCCAGCTGGCCCTTCAGCAGCTGAATTCGGTCGCCTCCACAACAGTATCCAACACTGCTCTTGCATCGTTGAACCAAGCTCTAGTGAAGATCAGCATGTTCAATGCCAGAGGGGCATTTGGCCAGAGTCAAGGCCCACCAAACCAGTTTGGGCAGAGTCAAGGCCCACCAAACCAGTTTGGGCAGAGTCAAGGCCCACCAAACCAGTTTGGGCAGAGTCAGGGCCCACCAAACCAGTTTGGGCAGAGTCAGGGCCCACCAAACCAGTTTGGGCAAAGTCATGGCCCACCAAACCAGTTTGGGCAGAGTCATGGCCCGCTTAACCAGTTTGGGCAAAACCAGGGCCCGCTTAACCAGTTTGGGCAGAACCAGGGCCCACCTAACCAGTTTGGCCAGAATCAAGGACCACCAAATCAGTTTGGCCAGAATCAAGGACCATCTAGCCAGTTTGGTATGAATACCCCAGGACCATATATGGGGGGAGGAGGAGGAGGAGGAGGAGGAGGAGGAGGAGGAGGAAGAGGAATGGGAATGGGACCTCAAGGATCATCACAAGGCAACTTTGGAATGAATATGGGAATGATGAATCAACCTGGAAATAATGTAGGCTTAGGTCAGTGGTCCTCCTATCAGAGTCCTTCATCTGGAGGTTTTCGATCTGGGTATGGGAGCACCGGAACGCCTGCGTCTCAAAGTGGAGACCAGAGATCTGCAGTTCAACGGTTTCATGACACAATGAAAGCTTCAAATATATTGGCAAACTTTGGCCTGTCAAATGAAGATCTGGAAGAGCTAAGTCGTTACCCAGATGAGAAGCTTACACCAGAAAATATGCCCTACATTTTAAGAGAAATAAGAATGCGGAAAATGAACAAGCAGCAGTCATCCAGTAGTTACGATCAACCGTACAAGCTACAAGATAAAGACTACAGAAGAGAAGTACAGAGCAGTGTCGTAGATTATGGGCATGGCCAACAGTATGATTACCGAGATAGGCCCATGGAGAGCCAGAGCATGCATTACAGTCGTGAAGCACTAAGAGAAGGAAACTGGAATGAAGATTATAAATGTCCCCCCCAGAATTATCCAATGGAACCTTCGCGAGATGACAGTACTCATGGAATCAAGCGAACAGTTCTAGTGGTGAAGAAGGGATTACCAAAACCGAAGTTGATGAATGATTACTATGGTGTCCCTGCACTGAGGTTCCCCCACGTGTGCAGTTTGTGTAACATAGAATGTAGACAAATGAGGGTGAGTGTTTGTTAACCTAGTTCGCCTTTTCTGATAATTTGCTTCCTTAACAGGCATATTTGTGGGTCACAGCCTTCTGTGGTGTGCCTGAAAAAGTCACCATTGGCTGAATAGCAGCCCAGTGGTAAAGCATTTGTCTTTGTTAATTCGGCAAGTATATATTTAATTAAAGGTCTTGGCACACAGACAAGAGCGTAAAGGTATAATACTGTGAAGAGGAATTCTACTAGGCATTAATATGGATCTATTATTTAATACTTAATCACTCCCGTTTTTTTTAACCAAAAGAGTGTAAAAATAATTCAGCCAGTTATGTTGGGAGTCCTCCTAATTCTACCACCAGTTGAATTTGGTGTCTCACGGTCATGTTGATGTCATGCTTAGGTGCTCAGTCTTCTGTGCTGGTCACTAATTTGCAGATTTCAGTGAAGGGGTAAAAATCTATCCAAATCCCCATTACAGGTTCTTGATAGAATTACTGCAGATATTTTGTGGTGAAATCACATGTGGAATGTCCTTTGGACAATCTTTTAAAATATGAAGGTAGAGTTTATAGATCCTTTCCAACCATGAATCTCATTAATAGTTAGAAAAAGAGCCAGTCATTTTCTAGAAGTAAATTCTTTGATTTAATCTAAAATTGTATCCCTACCAAGAGATGAGTTTTCTCAGACCTGCTGATTTGAGCTAAGGTGGAGAAAATTTATGCTACCATCAGTGTGGGTTACTGAATTATATTACAATAGAAGCAGGAGACTTGTCACTAAGGTTTTAATACAGCACACTGGTGGCAGATTGAAGTGTTCAAAGTATGTGGTCTGTATAAAGTATGCTGTTCTTCATAAGAACTCTGTAATCTTCATTCTGTTGACTACTAGGTACAGCAGAATTTCTGCAGCTCCACACTTCTTTGATCTGTGCTAGATGCTGACTTTCTAAAAGAAAATAATTTTAACTATTATATTTGATCCACTGCTGGCTGCCTTCTCCAGCGGAGTTGCAGTGATGGTCACAGATAGTAAGAATTGCAGACGCTAGAGTCAGAGATAACACAGTGTGGAGCTGGAGGAATGCAGCAGGCCAGGCGGCGTCAGAGGAGCAGGAAAGTTGTAGTTGCGGGTCGGGAATTTCAGAAATTTCTGAAGAAGGGTCCTGACCCGAAACTTCAACTTTCCTGCTCTTCTGATGCTGCCTGGCCTGCTGTGTTCTTCCAACTCCACACTGTGTTAGCAATGATGGTATGTTGGTGGTTTTTGTTTGTTTTTATGTTGATAGCTATAACCCCTTATACCTTTTGCCCTTTGCTACAAGCCCAGGTTGCCCAATGGGGAGAATGTTAAACGTTAAGGTAACTCTTAAGGTAATGTGGATTACCTTCATTTGTTTTGTTCATTTCTGTTACCATATCCATGATCTGCAGCACATCCAAGATGGCTGAAGTCATTGCATTTCTCAATTTTATTTTGCTTCATGAGGTTGGAGCTGGACGTTAACCAGCCACAATGTTACTTCATCTAATACTTGTTGAAACATGACATTTGCATGTCTATCTTGTTTCTAATTCACACGCTCAGGAAAATAATCCAGCCGGATATGAAGTCCTTAAAACTGTGGAAACAAGTTAATCAGGGCATCATTTTGAGTGTAAAGTTTTTTTTTAGTTAATGTAACTTTTGACTAGTTTATTTTACATGGGGTCTCCAAGTTTTTAGGATGTGTTTATGGGTGAGTATGAAATAACTAGGACTGTAGATTAGGGAAGAGTCAGACTCCCTTCTTTTATTGGGCATTAGGTTGGTTGTGATAAAGTTCTGATTGTTTTCAACCACTGGGTTCAGCTCAGCTTTAGGTTATACGGCCTTATAGTGCCAGAAATACTGCATGTCTTATGGAGCTTATAAACCATTCTTGGACATTTCCTGTAATACCTTTGTGCTGGGCATTGGCGTTCTTTCTGTACTAAATTTGTGAAATCTCCAAGAAGTCATCACCTGGAAGGAATTCTGGAAGTTTGTCAGCTTGTCAACAGAACTAGATTACATTGCTATCCTGGATTGACATTACTAGGTCATGAGGTAGTTCTTATTCATTCTTGGACCATCGCCTCTGATCTATTTTGCAAATTATGAAATAGATGATAAAAGCTGGAAAAAGCGTAAATTTGCACTTGCCAATGCAGTGTCTGCATATTGATTGAACAGGTTGCTGTCTGTTGTAGAAACCCAGCCTTTATTCCACAACTTGTGTTTAAAAGCATGCTGTAAGTTGACCTTGATAGCTTCTGCTCCAACATTGTGGAATTTTGCCTGGCTGTTGATTCTTCAAGGCAGTGTCCAAAGTAGTAGAACTGAAAGAATTGTTATTTCTTAAAACAGACTTCATCTGTTTATCAAGAACACTGCTTGCAGTTTGCACCTCAGTTCTGCATGTCTGAAAATTAGTGAAGAAGTATTAGGCACCTCTCCAGGTGGCATGCGTCCTAAACTGTGCAGAAGTTGAAGTACAGAATTTACTGCTACTTGCTGAGCTTTAATTGTGCTATATGTTGCCTTTTGGTACCAGATAATATTTATTCCCAAGTAGTCATCTGAATCAGAGATGTACGTCTTTGTTTTGCACATGGTTGCAATGTTTCCATCACTGTTCGGATGCAAACTTTGTAGAATACTGAAATTAGTTTGAATTTCAAATGCAATGCCCGAGTCTGTGTCACTGCGGCTTTCCTTCCGGTTCTATTTCACTGCCACTTTGGAGTGTGTACGGTATTATTAAATTAAGGGTGCTCTGTTGTGATCCCATGTAAAAGATGAGTACCAGCAGATCAAGAGTCAGAAGAACGTTATTTTACCGAACAAGTAAGGGAACTATCAAGATGTCTGCAAACACTGAACAGAATTTAGATCAAGGTTCCATTTTGTACATTGAGTAATTTTTGGTGTTATAGATGTGCTGGAACAGCTTATCTAGGAATGCACCTAGTTATGCAAAGTTTTTAGTGTTATGACCAGGGTATTTTCAGGGCCACTTGCAGTCATGTTGCTGGATTCGGCCATCATTGCAGAAGGGGTTTTCAAGGAGCCACGTCCTCCAATTGTCCAGTGTCATTCATGGCTGCTATGTGGCTGAAAAACAATGCACTAGAATTTTAAACCTCTTATTGGGTCAATCTCTGGAATATCTGTGTAAATCAGCATGAAGTTGCTGTTCAAGTCCCCTTCATAAAGGAGTGCTGTCAGTGGCAGGCACATCTGATGACCAATATGAAGCAAATGGTGTCTGTAGTCTTTATGGCGGTTGAAGACAAACTTTTTGCATATCCCTTATTATGCTTTAAACATTCAATACTAGATTCCATTGAACTGTAACTATCAGTTGCAGTGCTAGTCTTCCAAAGCCTCTTGATTTCATGAAATTATAGATAAACGGAAAAAAGCAAACAGCCGAAGAAGTCGATTGTTTTGAGCTCTCAATTTCTGCCCCAAGGATGTGTTAGGCGGTACTCGAACTACAGTGGAAGAAGAAATGAAAGTGAAGAGTGCTACTTTGTTGGGTGGCCTTCGTTCTTCAAAACTGAACAAACCAAAGGTTGGGTTAGCTGCTCTGTCAGAAAAGTAAATAGCTTTATTTCTACTGGTATTTCACTGCACCCATCATATCAGTTGCTGTGGAGCTTTTTGAGGCTTTGTTAGGCTGTTCACCTAAATGTAGTAATAGTGGATTGTTCAAGTGTTTCTCCTTGTTGGTAACCTGGGCTTACCCTTTTGATGTGGTGGGCGTTCTTTGAAACGAGAACAAAAATTCCTTAATTGGATAAATTGTCTTTCAGTGGCTGCCCTCACCAAACATGTTTTTGGTGCCATCGATTTATCGCACTGTACTTGAGTAACTTGAAGCTGTCGGCCCTATAGAATTGTTGCCCAGTTTCCTATTATTTCTCTCCTAAGCGATTGAAGTTGTTACCTTTAAGATCAGAAGTGGCAGTTATGATTTGATGCCACCCGATGTGTGAGGAATTCCTTGTTAGATACCAACTTCCCCCCCCACTCCACTGGCGCTACCACCACCAACCACCACCATTACCACATGCACACGGTTTTTCAAGAGAGCTTGGATAGTCACGATAGGAACCTTATGTAATTTCTCTCTCCCAGCTCCAGCTAATTGAAGTCTTTGGTTGGTTTCAATGGTCATAGTACAGAAATGGAATTGAGCCTTTGGCTTTGTCATATGTAGCTGTTAAGCATTTTCTTTTTAAAAGTTGAGCTATCTAAGAAGCTGCAGTGGGTTTTAGTGTAATACTCTTGTTAGGCAAATATAACTTTTTCAGCATAAAAATAGCACGAGTTGGAATTACTGAGACATTAGATAGATCATTGTTCTGAAGGTAGGAAGAAATGAGATGTGAATACAATCAATTTCCAAATTAAAAAGTTGTTTTAAAACAGTTGTTACATGATTCAATTGAATAATGGCCATTTGGTATGGAAACTCTGAAGATGGAATTAGATTTCATACCTTTTGCAAGGTTGCGATATGAATCTGCCAAAGTCTGACAGAAAGCTGTCAGAAAAACCCTGCTTTGTTTCATTATTAAAATGTTGAAGAAATGCTACATTGACAAATTGTGTAATAGTGAGGGAAATCTGGAAAGTTGCTGTGGGTTTCAGAAAAGGAAAATGAGGTTCATCAATTCTAAAATCAGATTTCACATGGGAATCTATGCAGAGAACGAGTGAGTTGATTGTCCTCTTCCAGTGTATATATCCTGCTATTACTGTGAATTAATCTACCAGACTATTTTTGCTCAATCCAATTTGTTTAAAATAGTTTTGGCTGTTTTGACCTCCCCGACCTCAGAACACTGATCCTTGTGGGCTATAGCTCCGGCACTGATTTATGGCTTTTGTTATTCCACTGAGATGAGATGCCTAATTTCTTTTTTCATCACCTCCTTTGTTCAGTTATTCAACTAGAGAATATCACCTAAAATCCTATTCTGCAATCAAAGGTTAATTGGTGACAGCTAATGATTTGCTGTATCACTACCAGTAATGTTTGGGAAGTCCAACAGAAGCGTGGGTCAGTGACTTACCCATGAAGAGAAATATATGCTCCCACTTTGGCAGAATTAAAGACTCAATACAGGAAACAATTGTCTTGATTAATTTGGGTGCATACTTCTGTTCAAATGGCTGTTGGGTTCAGATCTCTGTTCAAAGTCTTCATTTAAAAGTAGCAATTGCAGAGCACTGCAGAGAGTATTTCAGTAAGTTATAGTGCCATAGTTTTATTATGTCAATTAAAACTCAGTTTAAACCTTACTATACTGGTCACTATACTAACCAGCCTTGAACATGTTACGTACTTTGCCCATTACTTTATGTTCAGCCAACATACGTTTGGGCTTTCTTCCTGTTCTCAGAAATGTTCAGAATCTCCGTGCAGCGTCAAGTAACATTCACAGAAGAACAGTTCGTCACATTATTGCTGTGTGGTCTGTCGATAAGTTTTCTCTATCATTTAAATCCATGTAAAACACCCATCATCAGTGGGTGGTGCCTCTTAAGAATTGTGTGGAGTGGACATCATCTGATTTGAGTGGTGCCATAATGTATTCATTCAGTTGTTGCAATTTGAGCACGTGGTTGGCTCAATTTTATAGGCTGGTTATGTTTCCCGTTGCATTGTGTTAAAGTGTTGTTTTCTGTCTTTGTTTTTGCAGGATTGGGATCGTCACAACAAAACATCTGTCCACAAGGACAGCTGCAGGCTTTTGCTCAAAGAGTAAGGATTTTACACTAATTTTGGGGTTTTCTTTTCAGGTTTTGTCAATTACAAGGAGTTGGTTTAAACTCGGATTGTCTAGTGCATACACTTTCCTCCTATGTCTTCTCCCAAAGATATGAGCGTCTTGTTGGGCACAGCAGTCCTCAGTTACCTACTGCGGACACTGCTTTTTATGCAAACTTAGATAGTGAGTGTCAGAAAGTTTTTGCAGTGACAGTTTACAAGCCCAACTACCAGCTGTCAAACCTGTCTCAACTAGAAAATGTATTAACATAATAAAACCTGCATTGTTTGAGATTATAGGCATAAAGACAGGTTCAATGTTCATCTTCAACCTTCAATCATAGAATCCCTACAATGCAGATAGAGGCCATTTGACCCATCAAGTCTACACTGACTCTCTAAAGTATGTCCTAGTCAGACCCAGACTATCAGTCCAGAGACCTAGGCCATGTTCTGGGGCCTGGGTTCGAATCTCACCATGGCAGATTGTGGAATTTGAATTCAATGATGATCTAGAAATAAGAGTCTAATGATTACTGTGAGTTGTCAGGAAAAACCCATTTGGTTCACTAATGTCATTTAGGGAAGGAAATCTGTCATCCTTACCTGGTCTGGCTTACGTGTGACTCCAGACCCACAGCAATGCAGTTAACTCCTTCGTGCCCTCTGGGCAATTAGCGATGGGTAATAATTGCTGGTCCAACCAGTGATGCCTACATCTATGACTGCATTTTTATTTAAATTACCATGAATGTCTCAGTAGCACCAAGCTGGTTAAGTCTGAAAGGATGTAGCTGCTACACTAGAATTTTGTGAGCCAGTGAGGGAACCAACATGAGGGGAGAAAACTAACATGCTCACCAGTCTACCTTTTGCAGATGCATCTGTCCAGGACAGTACTGGTAGAAGTAACCACTGCATAATCCTTGTGAAGATGAAGTCCCACCTCCTCATTGATGACGTCCTCCATCATGTTGTGTGGCACTGCCACCAGGCTAAATGGGACGTATTTCAAACAGATATAGCAATTCAAAACTATGCTTTGAGAAATAGTAGACCATTGGTAGCAGAATTGTATTTAATCACAATCTGTCATCTCATGGTTCAGAATATCCCCCATTCCTATCATTCCATCTAGCTGGGAGATCAACCCTGGTATAATGAAGAGTAAAAGAGGGTATCCCAGGAGCAGCACTAGGGATATCTAAAGGAGTGTTAACCTGGTGATGCTACAAAACAGGACTACTTGCTGCCAAGCAGTGGAAGCAATATACAATAAAGATGTCTAAGTGATCCCACAACCAAAAACAGGTCAGAACCAAGCTCTGCTGTCTTGGTGCATCCAGTCATGAATCATTGTGATGGGCAATCAAAAAATTAACAGGACGCGGAGGCTCTACAAATATACAATCCTCAAAAATGGGGAACCCCAACGCATCGATGCAAACTGAGGTTAAAGCATTTGTGTTCATTTTCATTAAGACGACCCAAGTGGTGATCCATCTTGGCTTGTTCCTGAAGTCCTTTGTATCATAGGTGATATCTACCTGGTAATGTGGAAAAATACTCAACCATGCCTTGCGCACATAAAGCAAGACATTTCCAAAGTGGCTGTTTACTGCTCTATCGGTATACTCTAGATCATCAGGAAATAATGGAAAGGGTCAGCAGTGTTACCAAGTGGCACTTGCAGAGTAGTAACCTGTGCACTAACACTTAGTTTGTGCTTCTGACCTGGGTTAGAGAGAAACAGACTCTTATTGGTGTCACACCAAGCATCGAGGAAGATTGATTGTGATTGGTGGAGGTCAGTCAACGCGGCTCCAGGACATCATTGCAACAGCTCATTAGGATGGTGTCCTGAGTCCAACTACCTTCAACTGCTTCATCTTCCCTCCATTGTACGCTGTTGTTTGTGGAATGTTTAGAAACATTCGTGACTTAAGATACTGAAGCAGGTTGTGTTTATGTTCAGCAAAACGTGAACAGCATCCAGACGTAGATAAATAGCAAGTAACATTCACACCCAGAAGTGCCAAGCAACAACTGTCTCAATAATAAGAATCTAACTATTGCCCCTTGATGTTTAGTGATATTACAATTGCTGAATCCCTCACAATCAACATCCTGGGTGTTACCATTGAGGAAAACTTGAACTCTGTCACCTATATAAATACTGTGGCTATAAGAGCAGATCAGAGACTAGGAATTCTGTGCTGATTAGTTAACTCCCTGATGTCAATACATAAGCTCAACACCATCCAGGACAATACAGCCCCACTTGATTGGCATCACATCCATAAATATGCACTCCCTTCACCGAAGCACAACACCAGCAGTGTATACCATCTTCAAAATGTACTGCATAACTCACCAGGGCTCTCTTGAAGCACCTTCCAAATCTGTGAACTCTACCACCTAGAGGGCTAAGGGTAGTACAGACAAGAGAATACTACCACCTCCAAATTCTTCAAACAGTACACTATCCTAACTTGAAATTATATCGCTATTTCTAACGTACCAAATGGGTAGAGAGGTTGACCATTTGGTTGCCAATCATGTTCTGCGATTTGATAAAATTGTGGCTATTTTGACTGTATTCTGAATTCTGCATTCTGATCCATATCTGATGCCCCTTGATTACCTAATGGGAATCTGTCCACATTTGTTTTAAAAATATTCAGTGATTCCACCTCCTGAGGTTCCCAAGTTGCATGAATAGCTACGAGAAAATATCCTCATAGAACAGTACAACATAGGAATGGGCCATATGTCATCTTTAACAGCATATAGACTTGTGTTATCTCA